TTCTAAAATATTTAGGATACTACGCGCGCTGTGATTGGTCGAAAACCATGTTTGATTACAGTATCAAAACACGCTCGCGCGCGTCAAAAATTTCTTTTATTCTTTTAATTTTAGAAAAGAAATAAAAGACGGAATTCCGTGTTTGATACTCTGATCAAAACAATTGGGATGTAGGGAGAGCACTCGAAAAGCTGGAAACCACTCCGCTACGCGTCGTGGTTTCCTACGCTTCTCTCGTGCTCTCCCTACATCCCGCGTGTTTTGATCAGAGTATCAAACACGGAATTTCGTCTTTTATTCCTTAAATAGTGAATGACCAAACTCTGTGACCCGTGTGATATTTTATCTATTCTTTTTAACTCTTCGATCTATTTGTATTTTTTTTGTACAAGATCTTAACCTATACTTAATCTCAACGTGTATCCACTTGAGTCATTTCGACAAAGCCAAAATGAAAGGAAGGAGATGAAATGAAATGATACCCATTTTTGAAAACAATATCTTACTTTTAAAAAGAAACAGTTGTGTAAAAAGATAAATTTAACACCGTAAAAAGTAGGTGAGAAAAGACAGAAAACTTGCTGACGTTTCGGACGTTAATCCTTCGTCGGAGTAAAGACAGCAATACATATAAATATTATATCATTATTTTTATTATTGAATCATTAAATGATTTTAACTGAACGAACTTTAACATAATTGACAGTTGCAAAATAGACTATAATGGGTCATAATCAAAAGAAAAAAATAAATAAAATGAAACGTAGGGTGTGATTTCTTTCACCTGGTTTAGTTTTTATTGAATTTTTTCCACTTTTTCTTCATCTCTTTCGTCTTCTTGTGCAATTTTGTCTCGTCGATTGCCTTGGTATCTTTATCGCTCCCAGTCTCTGTAACTTGAAAATGGAATGAACAGATAAAATACTTGTTGTAAACATATGGGTCATGCTTTTCCCGCAATGACCACAGGTAGCCCAAGCTCAGTACTTGTCGGCTTTTCTCTGAAGGCCTTACATAGGCTACCCAACTATTGCTTGAGAGAAAGAAAAGAATGCATGCGCACGCTTTTATATTATGTTATCGAATCGGCGTGCGCTGTGGGTTACCTGTGGTATTACGTCACTATCGCGCGCCTCGCGGGATACAAACTACTAGTCTGTGACAAGGTATGAAACACTGGTCACGTGACAAATATAATTAGTTGGGCGGCCTATGGGCCTTATAGAGAAAATGAAAACGTTTGTCTYGTAGATAATTATCTATGATACAAACATTATGAAAAACGACAGTTTACTTCACTGTGGGTAGCTGAAACTTCGTATAGCTGTGGAATAAATTAAGCGCAACAAGCTGTGTGGATTTGAATTGAGATTAACAACTTTTATTGAATTTTTCATTTTGGAGAAAATAACGAAAATTGCTGACCTTGGGCTACCTGTGTAATAACGTGGGCGAAATTCATCATGGGATTCATGAAAGCACAAACYGAGTCATGTTGTTTTTTCATTCGTGTTTCTGGTGTCCCGAGGTATTCTTTCTAACAATAAGCATTAGTCATTTCCATAACGCTTTTATCAACATACTTGTCGCCTTCCGCACATTTCGCAAAGAAAATTTGTCCTCTGTATCCGCCATCTTGATACTTTTATCAATACCATGATGCAATTCACAATGACGTCATTATAAGAAAAGWCCRTCATGCCCCGGGGGCTGATACTTACYAAGGTCATTGCAYAAATCGGTATCGCAACAGCTCACTTGACAGTTGGTATACGTTCCWGGAGGCCCGCTACTGACAAGTCGGTCGCAAGCCGGTTGAGTGCAGAGGTCGTGGCAGTCCCTAGCAGATCCTTGCTCTGTAGCTCCGAGAAAATTACCTTGGAAAACCATTGTTCTACACTGATTGTTTTCGCCTGAGCATGGTCTTATTTCTTTGGGACCCATGCTGAAATTGCCAATTTGAAAAAAAGTGGCGCACTGAAGACTCATGACAGAGGAAAGGCTCATGAGAAAACCAAACAAACACAAGACAAGCTGTAGAAGATAAAACAAGAGATAGCCTGAGTTCATCCAGCGTTTATTCGGTTAATTTTGAAGATAAACCCKATGTACGCAGACTAAACGAGAGAGAAAGATATTCAAAATCGACGSAATTGTTAATAGAAGACTCAATTAAGTACTTGTTAATAGGAAATGACTTTTCAAACGCTCCATGACTAATTAGAAAAGACTAAACCGATCAGCAAAGCTGGGAATTTCTAAAAAAAAACCAGAAAAGTTCGAGGAAAAATAAGGAAAAATGATCCTGAACAACACCATTCAAAAAGCAGAAAAAATAAAGTAACATTCTCTACCTTGGCAGAATTCATTTTAACTGTACGTAGTTGTTGTAGAGAACGCTGAAAGTGAATACAAAATAAGAAGTTATGTTGTAATTACCCTGAAACTAGGGGACGAGGAATACGAGAAGTCTGAAGTTGTCGCGAAAATTGTTGTTGTTCAAGGTTGGTGTCGATGTTTCCAGTTTTTCTCATTTCCTAAGCTAGTAAACTTTTCGCGCAACAACAATAACAACAAAAGCTTTATCGTAAATATTTTGTCAATAATATACCGTAAAACTGAGCCAAGAGTTAGTACTCGGTTAGCGCTAATCGATCGAGCTTGGAACAGCTCAGATAGTGATGCAGTTATCAAATCATATAAGCAGAATGCAATCATAAGGAATGTTGTCGAAGTTTCACTTACGTTTCCTTGTGATTCTAGAAGGTCGCTTGTGAAATAACTCGTGATAATGTAACCTTCATATATATCATGACAATAATCAATGAAATTTTAATATGGAGGTGTAAATTTGACCCATGCATTTTTGTCTTAGATGAGAGAAAACTCTCGATGATCAATTTACAACGGATCGCTGATTTCTCCGAATCAACCCGCAGTTAATAAGGTACAGAAAGGGAATTCTTTTCTAAGTTCTTATTCATTTAAAAGTCATTACGCCAGGAAGAGGGGAATTGACGATATCTGTTCTGTAGCTCTATGCTCACAAAATGCAATGGCAACATGTTTCGATTAAAATTCATCAATTATAAATAACAATAAATTACTATATTCTAATAGGTGAAAATAATATATGGCGCGCCGTTTGTTTCAAAACTAAAATGTACCTCCATTAAACTTTTTAGTCGGACTAGCCGAAGGCTAGGTCGACTTTAGTTTTACCTTTTAGCCTATCAATCTATCTATCTATCTATCTATCTATCTATCTATCTATCTATTATGTCGCATTTGGACCACCGGAAGTTAAGAATTTAATAATTAACTATTGGGTTGGCTGTGTTATTACATGACCGGAAGCTCAAGCGTATTAATGTACGAATATCGTTAGTAAATGTTATATGCTACTTGGCTTTTATATGACAAAAAGCTATTCGTTTACAAATGTGGTATCTGTGATCTCATCGAAATGCATCTGTCTAGGCATTAGAAGTACGCGCATGTGCAGATCGCATAGAGTTTCGAGTTGTATGCTTACAAAACTGAATCAATATCCTTTCTAGTGTTAGACAGTCTTGTGGGGGCAAAGATTTCAAATTAGAACAAGAAGAAACTTTGTTGATCAATAACAAAAAGGCGACTTTGATTATTTTATAGGCATCTTTTTAAAAGTATTTATTTTCATGGCCTGAGAGGTCAACAATTTGAATTAAAAACGTATTAGATATGATATCACTTAGAGACATCTAGTCTCTAAGTATTAATTACATGACCTTTTAGGTCAAATTTAGATTTATATCGTTTTGAAGTCGTTGCAGAGAGCAGTCGAAAAGAATATCGTATCGTGTGAATAAACGGTCACACATTCTTGCTTTCACTATGTATTAGAAGTAAAAAATATAATATTCTACGTCATGATGATATACATTCAAAAATAGCTAGTCCGACTTCACGCTCCAAGAGCGTCTAGTACTAGTTCTTCTTTCAAATCGCAATTTTCCTCTTTTAGACAACTATTGAACCCATATAAAAACACAAAAACTATACTAGTGTGTTGATTAAAACCCCATGAA